CCCCCCCCCCCCCCCACCCCTCCCTAGCGGCTCGGTCTCAGCGGCGTATCAAGTAGCTGCAGCACTTGTATCCACATCGGCTTATCCATGTATCGAGGAGGAGGAAGATGGAACCTTTGACCAAATCGAAAATCCTCAGGATTTCGCATTGATAGACCCCTCCGAAGAGGCTGTCATCGAGGAAACCAAACCCGATGACAAGGACGTTCCAGGCCTACCGATACAGGAGGCCGACAGAAGAGCATAATGGAGGGCGATACCGCAGCGAATACGTGTAGCGATTCGCGGGCTTCATCGCCAGATTCGCCATTGTCCGTAAAAGTTTTAATCAATCTATTGCGCGCTGCAAAGATAGATAAGACCTACAGCGATGCAGCCAGGTTTCATAGGTGCACTGATTGTGAAGACGCCCAGCCAAGGCGCAACGCGCACATCGTACCCCTTCCGGAACACTCAACCGTGCTCTGGGGGTTGATGTGTTGGAATCCTGTCAATTGGGCAGGATTGCCCGCCATCCTACGGTGTGACCGAGGATTGCACAATCGTGGTGTTTTGGCTCAATTCCGTGAAGCTCACGGAAGTGCCACTGGAAACACCAGAGGCGATAGGGCGGGTTGAGCGACACGGAGGTGTGCTCAAACCAATGGCTCGCAAGGTCGTAGCCCAAACTCGATCAGGCAGTTGGGCAGCAGCAACTCCAGACCGTCCTAGATGAGTGCTGCACCACAAAGATCACTATGTTGCGACATGGTGGCTATTCACCGTCGCAGTGGGTACTCGGCAAGACCCCACGTGGTCCTCCATCCTTGATGGAGGAGGATAATAGCGCAGACCTTGGATCCCTACAAGACCAAGCTGACCCAGAGAGCAGGTTTGCTCTCATCCATCATGCTAGAGCCGAGGCAAAGAAAACATTTAGGCGCTTGGAGACCTCCAATAGTGTCCAACGTGCACTTTGCGTCCAATACCTTATATACATACTCCGTAGGATATGTAGTTTGTTTCAGGCGTATAGGCTTTATTTGAAGGAACCCAAAACGAGAGCGTATGGGTCCTTTGCGAAAGCGTTCCGGATTCTAGTGTCCGCACGTCACCTGAGACCAGCGCAAGACGCCGAGGCGTTAGCGCACGCCGTGCTTCATGGCGAGCCGGTCTTACAGGACGATTCTAGTCCAAGAACAGCAAGGGTTCGAAGACCTTACAGACGTACCAGCAGAGGACGTCGAAGAGGAGGAAGAACCGCAGGCACAGGGCGAAGGTTTTGAAGAAGGCACGGAAGAAGGACCATCCGATGGCCTATGGCCTTCTAAACGACCCACAGCCAAGAACCTGTAGAGCGGCCCCACTCGGCCGAGAGGACACAGAACAGCAGCAAAAGGTATAGTAGGTCTGACCTCCTACTAGTAGATGATTTACCAGCCATTACCAGGATCTATCAGGAGACGTTTTGATGCAAGGCGCGAGGCAGAAGGTGCCAGTTTGACAATTGGTAAGAAACTATAGGTTTCTGGAGTAACCGTTCTCTCGCCAGAGAACAGGTTGAGCCGGAATTCAGAGACCTCCCTGAGGCTCTGAAGTACTGGGAGGCGTCTCCTTCCGTACGACGTAGGATCGACGGAAGTCGCGGCAAAGAAAGGAAGAAGTATGTGGACTTCCAGGCCGCGATACCAAGAAAGGGTCGTGACGCGCAGGAATTGCTTGACGCGAGACATGTGTCCATACCATCGAAATGGTTGGACACAATAAAGAATTCATGAACGCCAAAATACACCAGATTATAAGCCCGAGTTCGAACGCAGTTGCGGCAAGCAGTTTGACAAACGTGGTCATGACGTACTTATAGACGTCACCGACAACACCAAAAAGATACCGTACATAGATCTTATAAGGCGAGCTGAAAGCACTGGGAACCGATCGACCGAGGAGAGGAACGACAACTGCGCTCCGTTGTAAGCAGTCTTTCGTGGATATCTAGGCAGACCAGGCCAGATATCCTGTACCGCGTATCAAAGCTCCAGAGTTCAACAAAGGGAGCTACCGTAGCTACCCTGCACGAGGCAAACAAGGTGTTGGAATTTGCGCGTAAGGGTAAGAACCTTACGCTAAAGTACCGGAATGGACCTTTTGACGTTGACAAGTTAGGAATGTTGACCGCATCTGATGCGAGCTTCGCCGGGGAATTTAACAATAGATCCCAGCAGGGCAGGATACACTTCCTAGCAACCCGCAGCGCAGTTACGTGATCCGTCATGCGACACATATGACGTGATGGTTGTGTCCTTTTCAAGTACCACCATCAAGAGGGTATGCCGCGCAACCCTCAGGCCCAAACATACGCATGACAGAATGCACAAGAAGCTGGAGACAGAATTCGTGCTGTTTTAGCTGAGAATATGGATTCGGATCCCAAGGGACCGAATGGGAGTTTTTTGCTGGAGGCGAAATGCTTCACGTCTCTTTCACCGATTGCGGGAGCTTGGCCAATCTTCTGAACTCCGACGTGCCCGTGCTTGTTCAAGATAAACGACTGCAACTCCAGCTGAGTACCTGCGCCAGTCCATCCTTACAGATGACGGCGATCGTACTTGTGAGGTCTTCCCCGGTGGCGGAAACCGCGTTGATTGGATTGATACAGCCACGCAAGCGGCCGATTGTCTCACATAATCTATGAAGCCGGATTTTATCGTTCGCTTGATCGAAGCTGGCGTGTGCAAAGTGAGTAGGGCCAAGTTGTAGCCTTGCAGAGAGTGAATATGCCGACGACCATATGTCATATTATGGATCGTGTCAGTTGGGTCGGCTGCAGACGCCGCTCACCGGATCATACCACCACATTGGGATATCATACCTACCACAAAATTCCTGTGGGTGGGTAATACAAGGTTATATAGGTTGTACAGTATTTCCCACGCTCAAGACAAGTTAACAGGCTGAGTGTGAATCACTGCTTGTTTTTCTGTGATGTAAAATCTTGGCCTTGAGCTTGCCTTGTATATATTCCGTCGCCGTGGGGCCCTTAAACTTCGCAGTAGGCTGGGAAAAGACCGCCAATTTCAAACAATCGCGTGCAAAGACAATAAACAAGCACGCGCTTTCGAAGAAGCAGTCCCTACAAAGCTCCGTCAGCTTGCAATAGTTGGCAGCAGGGCTGCTTTTGGTCTTCTTGTTGATGGACGGCACGTTCCTATGCTCTGCACTGTTTGCGTTGAACTCTGCAGTTTCGTCCGTCCCACTTGCCATGCCTTGGCCGGATTTGGACCCATATATCGGAAGCCCAAGGATGACGGAGGAGGGTTTCCGCACAAGGTGTTTGCTGTGCCTGCGAGGAATCTGCTGCACCTTCTGCGGCCGGCGCGTCGCAGGAGTGATCAACTACACAAGCGCAACACGCGGTCGTAGAGTCGTAGAGAAGCTCTGCAGTGTTCACCACAATGACAGGGATGCCCAAGCTGCCCATGCCATGAGCTCCGTCCCGGCAGGAGCTTCCCGGGTTCGAGAACGTGGTTGAGATCGAAGCTTCACTCCTCGAAAGCTGGAAATCTTGGAGCAGCCCCCGCTTGAGGGATTCTGAAGGTGCCACGAGTCTAGAGGGGCGCAGTGCTGCATGAAACTGTTTCGACGATTTCGAAAACTAATTTCTCTCTCGTTTGCAAGTCTTAGCACAGCAACATAGTCGCAATTAAGTTTTTGCGTCTAGTTGCACAGCGTGAGGCAGACCAGTACCTTCACCTCCAGATCGGCATCTTCACTACAGGACCGCCATGCAGAACAGCACTGCGGCGTTCGGCTTGCACACTCGCATCCAGGCACATTGCACGCATGGACCAGCTGCAGAAGGACCAAGCAGCTGACTGCACCTTTCACAGACAGAGACTGCTCGAGGTGAATTCAGTGTGCAGTGTTCTGAAGCTTGAGCGAGGCATGTCAGTCTGCAAGCAGTTTGGTCCTAGGTTCAAGGCTTGCTGTAAGATGTTCACTGACTTTCCCTGAGGACGAGTGAGTTCCTTGATTCAGACAAGTGATTTGAGACCTGCGACACATTGTGTCAAAAGTGTGTGGGTGTGTGCCTGTTTGTCTGTCTGTGCGTGTGTTTGATGTGGTGGGTGTTGCGTTTTGTCCTGTTTGTCCTTGCGTTATGTTGCGTTTTTGCTGCTTTAGGACTCTGAGATACGACAGTGCGGGCATAACCCTAAGAAACAGCGCCATTTGGTCGTTGTTTCTTGTGACGAGACCAAGCAACATAGGTGGAAAGAACAACACATGCTGCGGAATTGCTCGACTTTGCTTCTCTCTTTGTCTTTGCTGTCGGGTCTGCTGAGAAAGTTACGGGATGTAAACCACTCTGTGGTTGAATGTTGGTATCCAAGAGTTACGTCCAGAAGTTCCTTGACGGTGTAGTGACGCCTTCGTCACACTGTTATTCTTGGCCGATGCACGGCCTTCAACATTGCATGTGAGGAAGCAAGCCGGAAGCCTCGGAGAAATCTTGAATGGTGGTTACCTTGCGGTGGTACTCCTCGCTTGTTTCGGGCTCTTGGACCCGTGAACCACAGCCAAGATCTCCGGAAGCACCTCCTCCGAATGGTGTTGCTGTCCGACCAGGGTGTATCGTCATGTAGAAAACCGGCCTTTCAACTTCTGAAACGTGCCGTGCTTCACGTGCCCCAGACGTTTGAGTGGTCGCGATCGCCGGAAAGCAGTGACACAAGTCCAGTCATGCATCCAGGATGTGGAAGAGGCGCACACTGCCTTCGAGCAGGCCTGGCACATTGAGCTGGATTTCACGACGTTTGCAACCGGGGTCTGAGCATGATATGATATGACATTATATTGATATGATATGATATGATATGATATGATATGATATGGAGGTTGTGGCCCTCCGCCGCGGTGATGAAGCATACGTCGCGGCTGCAGAGATCAATTAGTGCGCGAAGGATAATCAGATCGGAGGCTCTACATGCAACCTTGTCAGTCCGCCTTCAAAGCCTTCCTCCCCACCAAGGAAGACTATGCAGGAGCATTCCCTTTCTCAACTTTTCTAGACGTAGTCAGTCTAGCCCTTTTCGAACGGCTGTGCAAACTTTGGAGCGACTTTCGAAGCCGTTTTCATCAAATCACCAGCCCTTTCGAGCTGTCCTGCGGTTTGGACCTCTTGCGCAGCTTCTCTAGCAGCAGCGTGTGCTCTTTTTTCGGCCAATCTCAGGCTGGCCAGGCTGGCCGTGCAGAGGGCACAGTGGAGCCGCAGGCACAACTGGGTCCGAACACGAGTGCTTAGCTCTTCAGAGGCATAGATGAGTCGGCTGCTTGGGCCCCCCGGCCCCTGTCGAGAAGGAGGGAAAATGTCATGGGTAAGAAAACAGCAAGGCCACATCTAAGCATGCTTCGGATCCAAGTTGTCCACTAAACGTTGCCAAACTGTCGCAATGGTCGTCAATTTGGGCTGAGGTGCTGCAGGCCGTCGGCACTTTCGTATGCAACTGCTGAGAGCATGAGCTTATTTTCCCAGTCACCCAACTCAAGTGTTTCAATGGATGTGTGGATTAGCGAATACTCGGACCAGAGCGGCGAACCGGCGTATCATGCAGCCGCGTTCACGGTCCATGTCTAGTTCTGCTGTCTTTTGCGAGTCCTGAAGCCTCAGATGCGAAGACTCCATGGTAGGACTCAGGATATGCTGGCATGGCCAAGCACTACTTGCATCCTTTCATGCGCTCCGGCTTCATGTTCGAGCCTCCACTCGGTGACATGCCAGAGTGAGAGAGTTCCTTGTTTTCAACTCACGCATACAAGCCGAATTTGTTCAGGATGCCAGCGTGACTTCACAGGCTGAGTGTCCTGGTCAAAGCCCCTGGACTTGTTTGGGTCTTTTCCAGCAAATCTCCGACCCTGATGTCCTGTCTCCGAAGGACTTCGGACAAGAAGTCTCAGAGTTTCGGATCGCAGTCACCCCAGGGTCGGAGTGATCAAGCCTTTGTATGAAACGCGCAAGTGTGCGCATGGAGTGTCGCACATTGATTGACGTCCCCGGACCTGGGCTTCGATTAGTTTGAAACCTGTGCGATTGAGTTGTGCTGACCCTAGACCAGAGACTCCAGAGACCCTCGCCCCACCTGCACCCCGAGTGCAGACATGTTTGGGGTGCCATCATTTCATATCGCTTCACCTTTCCGTTCCACTTCCTTGCTGAAGAGCTTGGGCAGGCTGCGCCCAGCTACGCCAGGAGACTCCTGCAAGAGCAAGGAAGTTCCCTTCGACAACGCCAGAAATCAGCAAAGGGCTCATCTGCAGTCTCTTTTGAAGTTTACCAACTTTTCTCTCAAACGTCGCAAGCTTTCCATAAGCTGCCAACAGCTGTTGTGGCGCTGCAACCTCAGTTTTTGCAGCCATGCTGCGGAGCGCACGCAGACCCCTTGGGTGCGGCTGGAAGAACGGCACAAGCCGGCACAAGCCGATCCTTTTCGCAGAGTACGTAAGGGGGAAACTTGAAAAGAAAGGGCAGTGAAGCTCACAGTCTCAGGGTCGTGCCACACAACAGTAATGGTGATGCAGGAGTCCTGCTGCTACTGCCAATGCTGCTGCTGCTGCTGCTGTTGATGCTGCTGCTACTGCTACCGCTGCTGCTGCAGTAGTAGTAGTAGTAGTAGTAGTAGCAGTAGTAGTAGTAGTAGTAGTAGCAGAGGAGGAGGAGTAG